GCTCCAAAGAAAGTTAAGAAGTTGGCAAGGAAATGCAAAAGTCCTTCTCCTTCCAGTTCAGAACATGATGAGGAGCGCTCAGCAGATGAGGAAGAAGAAGTTCAACATCATGGTTCACCAAGAGGTAATACACCTCCTCGTTCTCCAACTCCTACTGAACAACTTCATGACAAGATTCCAACCCCTCCTCCATCTCCACCGAAATCCACTATTCCAGTTTCGGTTGCTCCCATTCCACCACCTTCTACATCTCAAACCACCACTTCTCTACCACCACCACCACCAGTTAGCACCGTACCAATCTCTACAACTTCTTTACCTCCTCCCATATTTTCACAAACAACTACCACAACTCTTCCTACCACCACAACAACCGAACCTCCTGTTACATCCAAACCTCTTTCACCCTCACCTTCCACTGATTCTGGTAATACTCTCGGTGGTGACAATGTTGAGTTTGACTCGACTTATTACAGTCCGTATCGCCTTCCCACCGATGAAGATGAAGAGGCTCATGTCACAAGACAACAAGTGTAGAGTCTAGATGCCGAGCTTGATCAATTGCTCGCCTCTACAAGGACTTACAACGATGTTGTGCTCAAGGCTTTTCTGGACACCGCTTTTGAGCAGTATACAGGAGCTATTGACAAATCAACATAGGCGGTTGAAGCATCAACATCTTCTTGCCAGAAGGCTACCACTGAAGTTGCAGAACTTATTCACAGTTCCAAGATTTTTCTTGAGTCCCTTAAGGGTCATGCCGATTCTAATGTTGCGAAAGTGGATGCTTCAATTGACTCTTTGTCAGAATCACTTCAAGAGGAGCACGCCAAATTTGAGAATGTTCGTTCTTCCATTCAAGCTAAGAACACTTCTCTTTTGAGCTCAGTGAATTCTCGCCTTGAAACACTCCATGCTGATTTATCAAAGGAGAGCGCCTTAAGGGAAGATCTTGCACGGCAAACCTCTACCATTGAAGTCCAAAAAGTTCAATTGGGTCAAGCTGAAAGGGAGATTTATTTGTTAAAGACTGAGCGTGCTGTATTTCGGAGTTGTGCTGGGGATGTTCAGAATATGCTCAACAATGTTCTTAGTGCTCATGATCCGATTTTGACATTAACCATCCGCAATCATCTGACTTCCAAGCTTCTTCCTGCCCTTGCACTTTTACATGAAATGAAGGGTGTTTCGGAGCGGTTCGTACCTCCAAAACAAGGGGGAGAAGGTGCTCAGACAACTCAACCGAAGGTCACTGTCAAAACGGAACCGAAGGGTAATGAAGCTTCAGGTTTTGGTGATCAAGATAAGAAGAAGGGACTTGCTGATGATAGTGATGAAGAAGAAACAATTGTTGAAGCCCTGAAATGAAAGAAGAGGGATAAGGAGTTAGATGAAACTCTTCGTATTGCGAAGGAAGCGGAAGAGAGGGAGCGAAAGAACAAGGAAAGACAAGATGCCTTAATTTGCAAAAAGGCCTTGTTTCCTCCTTGGACCAGGGAGACGCTCATCAAAGAAGCAATAGAGTTTCCAAGCATGTACTGGCTGGAACCTGTGGCTTCATTTGATTGTGAGAACACGAGGGACTCGCAGTTTGATATGCCTATAACACGAAAGGCATTTACGTTTCACTGCTTTGATTCAACTGTTCAAGTTCTCTCACCTCACCCTCAAGTTGATCGTGAACTTATCGATTTTTATCTCAAGTTCAGTCAGCCTCAGTACCTGACCTGGAGTGCACAGAAGATTGTAACTGTCAAGGTGCTGAAACCTTCGCCTGCAGGGAAGTTTATTAATGTCAATTTCAAGATTACTCGAGGTTCAAACAACTCGGTCTCTGTGATATCCCTGGCAGATCTTCCTAACTTGAATCCTCATGATTGGATCTTGTTGTTTAACATCTTGCTCACTAATGAGAAGGAATATGAGTCGATCCTAGATCATCTGAAGAGGATGTTGGCTTCTTACGTCCATGAAGTTGCTGCAATGGATCAAGAGATTGCTAAAGTTTTGAACAAGAAACCAACTGTCAAGCCAACTGGAAAGCCTGGAGATGTAAACAAGATGAAGATGGGTCAAATTGGTTCTAAACATCTTACGGTGATGTTCACAAGAGGCAAAGCTAAAAGATTTCTTTTTGCTCTTGTTAATAAGCATCTGTTGTCAACGGACTGCTTAGAGCATATAATTAATATCATCCATCGAGGTAAGCAGAACACTGAGGCAGACAAGAAGAACTTCACGGACATGCTTCGGTGGTACATTACTTTTCGTTATACTCTACTGGCCATTATACCGAAGGTGTACAAGACTGTCAAGAAGTCTTCTATAGCTCAACCGAACTGACCTTTCGGATCCATTGACGCAAAGGGGGAGATTTTTGGGTATTCTATGTTGCGTCATGGGCTTAGTTTTGCATATCTGGACTGGGTCTGTCCATCCGTGATTATTAATTTGGGTTAAACTATAAATAGTGCATGCATGTATGCCTTAGGTACGGTCGTGATTATTATTATTATTACTTTGTAACCCTAAACACCTCTACAGTCGAAGTTCTTAATCGAGCTCTTCTGAGGTGTTAAAGTTTAATCATTCGACATCAGTTAAACCATTCCTGTGTTCTTTATTACGTCATTAATTGTTTTTCTGCTTAGAATCTATCGATCCTACTAGAACTTTGATCTAACAGCGGGGTTTCACCAAAACCCTAATAAGTGCTTCATGGCTTAAGCACTTAAGCCCAAAAAATCAGATCTATCGACCAAATGTGTCATAGGACTATAAAGTCTCAAACTTTATCACTTTGGACGTCCATAAAGCTCTTAATACTTGGTCTTAATCCATTAAGACCTTCTTATTCCATGCATTGGAGACATTCAACTAATGTGATCTCATTTTTACCACTTAGGACCTCCTCTAAGGTCTGAAAGGACAGCTCATTTCGTCCAAATCATAACATGCACCATTTTGGGACAAGAATGCTTTCATAAAGCTAAAATGACTAGATCTATCTCATACAAGAATAAAGTTCCAAGATTTTTACCTTTTGGAGCTTCTAGGGATCAAGCGAACTTCAGATCTACAACCTTGATTTTCTTCTCCAACTCCTTGATGCAACACCTTCTTCTTAAAACACTCAAGAAACACACAAAAAGCTCAAATACTCAATGAAATGGCTAGGGTTTGGGGAAAACGACTCTAAGCAGTGGAGGCTGGGGTAAGGGAGGGTCTTGTGCTCATAATTGTTGCTTATATAGTCCCCAAACCCTAAATATTAGGGTTTCCTTCTGCCATGAGTACGCCCAGCGTACACAAGTGTACGCCCAGCATAGTAGGGAGCGCGTAGTACGCTCAGCGTACCCTTATGTACGCGCAATGTACTCCTCCTGATTCCAATAATTGCAATTTAGCCCTTAGACTTTCATGGCTTCACCCTTCTATCCTCATGGACTATAAATGACAAATCTTGGGATGTTACAAATTCCAAATTAATTCTTGATCAATACTAATTAAATCATATGATTTCATATAAATTTATTAGAACTTATAATATATTAATAAATCATAAATAACCTCTTCTCAAATGTCCTTCCTATCAAATTGTTGTGGTGATATGCAACCCATATGGATCATGCTACACTCGGGTCAAGTACATACCAATTATAGTTATGGACTTAGACACCTAATCCAACAGTTTGAATCATACTTCCCTCATTTTCTATCATTTATATTATTTTAAAAGAAATTACAAAAATGATCGTGTGGTTTATCAATAGTCACGAATTCAGTCACTTTATATTTGAAAAGACAAAAAATGCGCTTATGAATTCAGTTTCTAATAGCTGGATACTAATGGAGTTAGTAAAGGGGCCATCCGTGCAAGTTTTGCAAACCACAATGACCATTTACATAAAAAAAAAAAAAAAAAAAAAAAACTAGAAACTGAATTTGTGATTTTTGACAAACCACGACCATTTTTATAATCTTGTCTATAGTAAAATTCACTAACACCATTGTTCTTTAATAAATATATGTCCTTAGATCATTAATTTCAAAATTACATCGAACTAAATATTCGTTGTTTTTATGTAAGTTTTGTTTTGTTAACATCGTGACTTATGACGACTTCGTTGAGCTTTCAAAAGGGAGTGTTCTTGATAATTTCCTCCCACGACAACTTACACCACACACTAATATATATACATATATTATAGCCAATTGGTCCACTTGCATGTGGGTAGTTTGAATAGAAATTATGAAAGGGTCATTTTAACGACATGGGCTTGGGACAAATACTTTTTCCGAATCTAGACCAAGAAGCATTTTTAGGTCAAGATTCGTCGGATACAAGAGAATTTGAACTCGATACAGTGACTTGTAAACAATTTGATTTCTAGACAATACTGTATAGTTTAGACCCAATTTTTATTAGTTAAACTTCCAAAATTCGTAGAATTGCCTTTGTATTATTAAAATATGTCTTTATTACAAAAAAGCCCGTGAATTTTATGCACAAGGGTCTGAGATGTTGTGATACTTTAATAAAGGTTAACCCACATGGCCACAATATGGCGGAATGTATGTTATTATGTAGTTTTTAGTCATCAAAATATGCTATACTTTGGTCATGGTTTTGAATCTTAGTAACATTTTAATTACTAATTTGGTATTGGTAATTTATGTTTGTACCTTGTAGTTTCACCTTCAATTCAATGTAATCCTTCACAACCATTTTACCCACATTTACCCACGAGTCCAAATACGACAAATCGGTTTCCGTCAAAAACTAAATGACTCACTTTTCTAGTAGTATAGAGGATGAAAATACAAGACTTTAATTATTATACGACATATAGGTGCATACATACTATTGAAGTTCACAAGTTACCAAAAATACATTAATTACGACAAAGATACGACACTTTTATTACGTAAATAAACATACAAACATACACACTTATATGAAAGTTCCAAAAAATACATAATTGTGAAAATACAATAAAAGACAACACTTGTAAATTCCTCAGAATAAAAATACATTACCACAAAGACAAGACCATCGATGGCATTTGATGATTGCTAGGCAGCTAGGGTACTTGATTAATGGCACAGTCGTTGAGAGGATTTTTTGTTACAGACAACGACGTAGAAACGGTACCCTGGGAATAATGGCAAGGGATGTTTTCTTTTACTAAGACGCCCTCGTTGCAAATAGTACTTTGTGTCCCATCGCCAGCAACTAAGAAGACGCAACTCATTCCAGGGATATCATCTGTTAACGTAGAATGCTCACATGCAATGTTTAAATATTTTTCAACCTGTTCACACTTTTTATCCAGTTTGTAAATCCATTTTCCTACTGTCCAACCGACACGTAACTGCTTTCTACCATTGGCCTGAAATAACTTATCTCCTATCATCATCACAATAGTTTCTGCTACCTTCTGTGACACCTCAGATGACGCATCTTCAGCTTGTGTATTCACTTTTATCCAATTCTCCAGTCGAGTGCTATCCTGTAGTAGTTTTACATTGGCCGTCAACATGGTAGTAGTAGATGTGGATAACTGATTCACTCCCGAAGCAAACTTACGTTTATGCAACTGCTTTCCAACACCATTGATCATCGTTTCAAGCAATTTACGATCCCCTACCCTGCACGTTGGTATTTTTGACATTTAATTTAAGCATGCATGTATAAGATAATATCAAAAACTAAAACAGTGATGAAAAACCTTATCGTACCTAACTTGAGGGAGGTTATCGTTGGCATGGGAAGAGCAAGTAAGAAGAAGGATCGGTAGGAGGAAGACGACCAATTTCTTAACAAACAAAGCCATTTGTATGAATTATGTAGTATGTATGAATTGAATGTGTGATATTAGATCGATGGTATTTATAGATAACATCCATTATGTAATTACTTTGCAATTAGAATACATGTAGAATATACACCGTCATGCATGTGGGCCAAATAATTTGGTGCTTCTAGAACTTAGGTGACTAGCTGAAATAAAAAACGGAAACATGGGCTTGTTTTTTTATTTTCGTTTAATTTGTTTTAGTGTCAATAGGTAATGTAGGCTATAAAATTAAGCCTTTTACTTTCTGAATAAGAGTTGCATCCGTTTTTTGAGTCTCAATTATTTCATCCTTTGACTTTGTATTATGCACGTTTATCGGACATCGGTTTTTTTTGGTGTAAAAAGAAGGGCCTGGTATCCAACAATAACATCCATTACGTAATTACTCTGCAATTACAATACATATGGAAGCCACACCGTACGTACACACAACCGTCGAGTTGTCCAATTTTAAAGAAAATTTATAGTTTTCATTTTGGTGATCTAGAACTCTTTTATTTAAAACCTATATTTTTTTTTTAACCAAAAATATAATCTACTCTAAAGCTAAGGTTTAATGCTACTTATGTCTACCATGATTTGAACCTTCAACGTTTAAACGGAAGAGCAACACCAAATACCGCTGGACTAGATCAGTCCTTTGTTGGTGTTGCCGAGCGGTATCATGTGTTGACTTCCTCTTTGAGTTTGAAATTCCAAGTCGTATGATGAACATATATATGTCTTATATATTAAACGTTAGCTTAAGAGTAGATTATATCTGTTGATCAATAAAAAAAAATATAAGTTTTAAATAAATTTTACATTGAGTTTTTTAATATTTTATTATTTTGAGCAGCGAAATACTTATTTGGGGATGTATATATAAATCGTATTATAATATAAGTATGTAGATGTTTATTTTAAATCATATATATATATATATATATATATATATATATATATATATTGTCGGGTCTAAAATAATGTTTATACTTTGCTTTTCTAGGCAACTGGGTTTACGGTCCATGTGGTTGGGAGTGTTTACGGCTCAGGTGGTGTTTACGGCCGTAAACGTATTTACGGCCGTGAACCCATTTGCGGTTGTCTGT